ATATATATATATATATATATATCTGAGAATATGGCATTTGAACATTAAATGGTTTATTGCTGGGGCGGGGATGGGGAAGATATAAAAATAGAAGTGTGCGCTGGAGAGGGAGTGAGGCATCTTCCCCACCCACTGCTAAGTTCTTGCCCCAACTTCCCATAATATCTGAAGTAGATAAGAGGCTGATTCCTGGGGAAGGAAGAAACTTGGGGTGATTGTCCTTCAGGCACCTCCTCTGATGGCATAGCTAGGCAGCCACCATTTTCTCTCTCTGTCCTCACCTCTTCCCACATTCCTAGAATCTCTTTGGAATTATTGCCAGTGTCCTACACCTGGGGAACATTTGTTTTGGAGAGAATTACCAAGGCTGTGCCACCATACCAGACACCCACGAGATCAAATGCATCGCCAAGGTGATGTTGCGCTTTCGAACCCAGACTCAGACCCCAGGGGCGGGGGAGGGGAGCTTGAGGCTGGATGCCTACGTCCCAAATGGCTAAAACCATGTTCTTCCAGCCCGTACTGGTCAAGTTTCCATAGTGTGGGCAGGGAAGGGGGCTGGTAAAAGCCAGTTGGTTGAAAGATCAACTGTGATCTGTTTTGCGTTAAAACACAATTAATTCTGTCAGGGAAGTAAATCTGGGCCTGGAAATCCACGAACTCTTTATAAGTTAACAGAAATCAAAATCCAGTTGCTGAATGGCATTTTGGTTCCCATTTATTCAGCTCCTGGGGGTCCACCCACCGGTCCTTCTGGAAGCTCTCACTCATAGGAAGATTGAAGCCAAAACTGAGGAGGTAAAAATGGCTCTAGATGGAGATGCGCCTGCCTTTCTACCACTGCTGCCTCCCTTGGATAACAGGGTGGAAGTGGCCCTGGAGGAGGCTGGATCCCTGAACCCAGCCTAGCAGGTCCTGTGTGGTCCAGCTCCTGTGGGGTCTCCTGTGTCAACCCCCGCCACCCCTACCCTGTCACCCCATTACTAGTTCTCCATGCCTGCCCACCACGGGGCCTTTGTACGTGCTGTTCCCTGTGCTTCCTCTAGTTAACCCCTCATCCTTCAGTTCCCTGGTGCTCACATCTTCCAGGAGCCTTCCCTGATCACCCCACACACTTCCGAAAGCACCACATGTATCTCCTTAGGACATCTAAGCTGTGAGCCCACAAAGACTGGAACTGTTTGTCTCGGTTATGGCTCATTCTATGCCTGGCACATTGTGGGCACTCAAGAAATAGCTACTGTATGACAGGGTGCCTGCAGGGGTGGCATCTTTCCCTAGCACGAAGCCTTTGCTGGTCATCATTGAAGACTAATTTGAAAACTTGGAGAGCTTTTTTTCTCTCTAATGATGCACCTGTTTTTCCCAGGTGGTCTGCCCATTGACGCCAGGACTCTCTGTGTACGCCAGAGACGCAATGGCAAAGGCTGTCTATGGAAGAACATTTACTTGGTTGGTCAATAAAATCAATTCCTCCTTAGTGAACAAGGTTAGTCCCCACGTTTTGGGTGACTTATTCTCACTAATGGGGTTAATGTTCCATTAATCAATGTTGTTACTTAAAGAATTTGAGAAACTTCAGTGTAAGTTCCTAATGGGCAGGGGTGGTTGTCTTTTCACGTCTGCATTTCTAGTGTGAGACTCCCAAAAATGCATGCCAAGTGATTGTTTCAGTGTGACCCATTTGAAGTATGCCAGATGGTTTTAAGTGTAAGAAGAAACTTTTAATTTTAATAGTTTATTTCAACACATATAAGAAACAAAACAATGACTCCGTTGAACATTTTGTTTTTCAGTGGAGATACTTAAATGAAAAAGGAAGTTTACTCAAAGCTAGAAATTAAGAAAATGATACTGAGCATGGAGTATGTGGGGAGAAATTCATAGAGGTGGGATGCAAAGGGCAGATTTGGGAGGCATTCACACAGCACCCCATACAGAATGTTAAGTTGTGTAAAAAATAACAACACAAAAAACAAGCTTATTCTCTTTAAATATCCATCCTTGCTGGACAGCACTAGGTCCTCCATTTAAATTTATATCCGTACCATCTGTCCACCTGTCCTCTCTCCTGAATAAATATCTCCCTGGCTGCCATCTGTAGGTGTCCGTCTGTGTCTCTCTATGACTGAATAAGGGTTGGGGAGACTGCAGAGGGTGGAAGCAAGGGATCGAATCAAAAAGGGAAGATCTCATTTCTCTAGTGACCAGACGGAAGCTCCAGGGCTCTGTCAGGTGGCAGGCAGGTGCGGGCCGGGACATTTGTTTCCACCCTTTGGTTCCTGTGTGCACCATAGCTGAAGAGAGAAGACGTGAGCTGTGTAGCCAAGTCCCAGCTTGGGGGACAGCTACTGGTTTTGAGTGTCACAAAATAAAAAAAAATGTAACAGTTAATGGTGTGTGTTATTTTGACAAGGATTTCACCAGGAAAACTGTGATCGGATTGCTGGATATCTACGGGTTTGAAGTCTTCGACAAGAACGGGTGAGTTTGCTGCTACCCAGCCGTCCTCGATTTTTCTTTAAGGTCTGAGACTGGTTGGAGCATCTCTAACGTTATTGGAATTGATTTTCCTCTCCCCAGGATTCTCCATAGTCCCCTAGCCCCTAATTGATAGACTTATGGAAGTGGCATGCCCATTGAATAGACAAACGTCTTTTAGCTCGACTCTTCTGATCTAGTTAGGAAATTAGTTGATGAATAAAGACTTTGCTTTTTCTGTATCTACAAGCATCATTAAAAAAAAAGTAAACACCATTAAAACAAAACCGGTCTGCTCACATAGCTTTACTTATTTAAATCGTTTGCATCTCTAGTTTTGAATAGTTCTGCATAAATTACTGCAATGAGAAACTCCAGCAGCTGTTAATTGAGAGTACCCTAAAAGCGGAACAGACAGAATATGAAATGGAAGGTATAGAGGTAAATGTTATTTTCTCATCATCTGATTTCTTCATCTAATGAAAGACATTTACTTGAGAAATATTATTTCATCAGAGATTTTTCCTGCTTAGTATTAAGAATTATTTTGCACTTCTTCTCTGCTTATTTCCTGGGAAATTATTTTGATATCCATAAAGTCGTATTTTTTAAAGTTAGACATCAGAATCAGATTTTGAAAAAAAAGGTTGGAAAATCTATTTAAAAGCAATCGACTTTTTGCTCCTCAAAATCCTCCTTGGAGAGTTATTTCTTTTTCATCATTCTAGTGGGAACCAATTCAATATTTCAACAACAAGATCATCTGTGATTTGGTAGAAGAGAGACACAAAGGAATCATTTCCATTCTGGTGAGAAAATTAATGTTGACTTACAGCCCTTTCACACCGTGTTTACAGCACATGGAGAACTTTTTCCCAGGCTTGAAAAGGGTTCTGTGTGGAATCCGCTAGATGATTTAAGGATGCAAATGAAGCTTTTTTGCTGAATTCTCTCTCGGAGCTCTAGGCTGAGCTTTCCCCTCTCATTTAGACTCACAGACCTAAATTACAGCCCATCGAGACTAGCAAAGAAAGACCTTTGAAATGGAAGCATGCTTGTCAGTCTTCCATAGACGTGGGAAGGTGCGCCTGGGGCCGAGGGGCCCAGTGGAGGCAGGTGCTTGGTGGCGACTGGGGGAGAGCTGCTTTCGTGCTTAGTACTGAGCAGAACGCCAGGAAACTGACGAAAGGACGGCTTCCCAAAAAACACCCATTGATCCTGAACTGAGGCTCCTTGGAGAGGGCCCGTGACCTTGTTCTGAACTATTGTGGCTTCTGAGATCAGTATCCTCAAAGCCACAACTGTGCAAACTCAAACATTCATTTAAAAAATATATCCTAAAGGTCAATGAGAAATGATTTCCTTGATTTGCTTTTCTTTGGGGATCATCTGCACCACAGCTTGCCTTCCTCTTAATGAAAATAACTGGCCCCCTTCCTCTTCCTGCACTGCTCCTCTCTACAACCTAGCTGCTCTGTGGACCCAGCACTCTAAAGCACAGCAGGCACATTAATGGGTGGTGACTGTCGTTACCAGGAACACAGGCACGACCTCGATTCAAATCCCAGCCCCATTACTTACTAGCTGTGTGACCTTAGGCAAGTGTCTAACCTCTCTGAGCTCCAATTTCATCATCATTAGATGAGGATAGTGATCACAGTCCTCAGGAGGTGTGAGGACAAATGAAGGGAGATAATACAGGCAGAGGGCTTAGAACTATGCTTCATAGCTTTCTTTCCAGGAGGACTTTGCTTCTAGTAAAAGAGAATAAGTTCTTGGCCAGCAATGACTGGTAAAGAGAAAATGTAGTTGTATGTTTAAGTAAGCTGGTCATGGAAGCTGCAGAGTGTCCTTGGGAAGACTTGGGAAATATGGGTCAAATGGGTGGGAAAGTCGACTTTGCATGGAAATTCCAATGTCTCTGAGAAGCTAGGCACATGCAATGGATTACTGCCCCCACCTCCTATGTTCACCTGACTCATGTGAGATGGCAGGATTTCAGTCCCGTACATTCTGCCTTAGCTGGTGAAAGCATTTAAACTTGGAATTGATGGCATGTGATGTTATGGATCGAGGCTCCTCTTTTTCTTTTGAAGGATGAAGAGTGTATTCGCCCTGGTCCTGCTACTGACTTGAGTTTCCTGGAGAAATTGGAAGAGAGAGTGGGCAAGCACGCACACTTTCAAACGTATGTATCTCATTTGACAAGCTGTTGCCTGGGGGAAGATCATTGAATGTCCATTTTCTGGGGCAAGGGCAGTGCTTCCTAAAAGTACAGCTTCTTCTTCATTCATAGAAACAGCGTCATGATATACCAATTCATATGCACGCATGCCTTTTGCTAGTAGAAATCAAACTCAAATGAATTCCAAGTAGAATTTTTTTTGTGATTTTAATGTCTTGCTTTATTCATGATCATTGCATTGTGGACATGCCCACAGGCATGAAATAGTATTTTTTAAAGTCAGGTATGACATACATACAGTGATGCATGTAGATCTAAAGTATATAACTCAATAAATTTTTGTATTTGTGGGTACCCATATAACCACTACACATATCAAGTTTTAGAGCATTTACAGCATCCCAGAAAATTAACTAGAAATGTAACAGTCTTTGAGACAGAAGGAGAGAATTTAAGCTCATATGCTCTGGAATCTTAAAGACCTGGTTTTGAATCCCAGTTCAGCCACTTATTAGACACAACACCTTGGGCAAACAATACTTCCGCATTTAAATCACCCCTTCTGTGAAATGGAATATGAGTACACCTACCATGCACCACTATGCAATTAAGTAAACTGGTCATGGAAGCTGCTGCAGAATGTCCTTGGGAAGACTTCAGAAATATGGGTCAGATGGATGGGAATTTCCATGCAAAGTCGACTTTCCCACCCATCTGACCCATATTTCTGAAGTTTTCCCAAGGACTCTCTGCAGCTTCCGTGACCAGCTTGCTTAGTAAATAACTATATAAATTGCCTAGTGTAACTTCTGGCCATGGTAAAGTCCCAATAAGTGATAGCGGCTTTATCAAACCTTTTGTAGAATATTGCAAGGGTAAGTAAATGGAGTTGGATAAGCAAATGAATCAAGAACAGAGAAATGTCTCGTGGTATAGTCACAAATGAAATAATACATAGCCATGAGAATTAACAATCTATAACTATATGCAATGTGGGTAAATTACACAAACATGTAAATAAGAGCAATCAGACACGGAAGAGTACATGTTATATGAATCCATTTCTATATAGTATAAAGCAGGTAAAATCAATCTATTTTTGCTAGCTGTCACGTTTACTGGAGAGGGTTCAAGGTGAGGCGTTCTCACAGGTCATGTTCTGTTTCTTGACTGGGTGTTGGTTACACGGGTGTGTTAAGTTCACAAAAATTCATTGAACTGTACCTACACTTTGGATATGTGCAGTGTCAATATATAGATATATACATTTCAAGAAAAAGGTATAAATTATAAATCACCAGAATCTGAAGAAAATGACGTTTCATGAGGATATTAGTCTCTTAACATCATAAAATGTAATGTGGCAAAACTTGTTCATCACCTGAAGAAATAGAAGTTATGTCGTTGTACAAATAAATATGTTTCTATGACTCATGTTTGCTTTTTACTCCTCAGTTCTTATGAGAAGGAAGGATCTAATCTAGACCTTGGTCTATAGCCTGATGAAGTAGGTGGTGGCATCTGGGGGTGCTTCCTGGGAGCTGCCAGGAGTGGTTAGCTTTCCTAGACAACCTGTCACGGACTTCTCTGTCATGCTTTATTTTATATACTGGTGCATTTTGTTTCAGTGAGGTGGAAATGTGCAATGCATGTCTCTTTCTGTCTGCTTATAGCCGGAAGCTGGCAGGTCCAAAGGGCCGAAAGAGGATTGGCTGGATGGAGTTCCAACTCTTCCACTATGCGGGTGAGGTCACATACTGCACCACAGGTGAGTGCCCAGGTCACAGGTGACAGCCCTGCAGGTGCCCCTGCGTCCACTGAAGAAATGGCTGCATAGCTGTCTTGAATATTCCCTAGTCCTGCATGCAAGCATGCCCTTTGAAAAGTTATTATTTTTATGTATAACCACTTTATTGTGATAATTCACATACCATATATCTCACCCATTTGAAGCATACAATTCATTGGTTCTTAGTGTATTTTCTAGATAGTTACGCAAACATCACCACAGTCTACTTTAGAATACTTTGCAACCCCAAAAAACTGTTGACAGTCACTCCCTATTCTCCACAGCCCATCCCCCACAGCCCTGGGCTACAAACTTATCTTTTTCTGTCTCTATACATTTGCCTACTCTGGACATTGCATATAAAGGGAATTACACAACATGTGACTTTTTTGTGGGGCTTCTTTCACTTAGCAGAATATTTTCAAGGATAACTCACGGTGTCGTTCCTTTTGACTGCCAAATACTATTCCATTGTATGGATAGACCACCTGTTGTTTATCCATTCATCAGCTGATACACATCTGGCTTGTTCACAGTTCCTGGTTGTTATGAATAATGCTGCTATGAACATGCCTGAATACGTTTTGTGTGAACGTATGTTTCATTTCTCTTGGGTCAATACCTAGGCATGGAATTGCTGGGTCATACGATAATGCTGATTGATCTCTTGAGTACCTGCCAGACTGATTCCAAAGCAGCTGCACCGTTTTACCCTCCCACCTGCAGTATATGAGGGTGCCAGTTTACCTCGTCAACACTTGGTATTGTCTGTCATTTGATTCCGTCATCCTGGTTGAGTATGAAGTGGTGTCTCATTCTGGCTCAATTTCCCTAGTAACCAATGACTCTGAGCATCTTTTTCATGTGCTTATTGGCCATTTTTTATATCTTCCTTGAAGAAATGTCTATTCAGATTCTTTGCCCATTTTTTAAATGGGTGTTTTGTCTGTTTACTATTGAGTTGTAAGATTTCTTCATATATTTAAATATAAGTCCCTTATTGGATATATGACTTGCAGATATTTTCTCCAATGTGTGGGTTGTCTTTTCACTTTCTTGATGGTGTCCTCTGAAACACGGAAGTTCTTAATTTCGATGAAGTCCACTTTATCTTCTTTTACTTAGCATAATGTTTTCAAGGTTCATCCATGTTGTCATTCTGTTTTTATTGTCAAATAATATTGCCTTGTGTAGACAGACCACATTTTGTTTTTCCATTCTTCAGGTAATGGGCATTTGGGTTGTTTACACTTTTTAGCTATTATGAATAATACTGCTATGAACATTTTCTTACAAAACACTTTAAAACCATTTTCTTTCATTGCTTCTGCTTTTGGTTCCAAATTATTTTTACTTCTAAATAAGTTTATTTCTCTAAGAAGCTTCAAAAAGTAATATAACATGTATTAGGATTTTTCCCCTCAAATACAGTAGTACAAAAAATTTTTTAAAACTAGGGTGAATCTCTTTATGAAGATAATCTATTGATTTTTGTTTAAAGAATACAATAATGCACATGTAAGGCTAGAAATTACTGACAGTACAGAAACGTACTAAAAGTCCCTTTTACTCTTAATGTCTCCATAAAGTTACTACAGGAACCCACAGTTTCTTGTAATTGCTTTCAGGAAAATATAAATATTTCATGCATATACTTGCATATGTGGGGATACATACACATGCACACTTAAAGAACAAAGATTGTTACTTTGTGTTTTCTATCTTGCATTTTTCATTTCATGAATATTGAAGATCATTTGGATTCCAACTAACACACATTGAGCACTTACTATGGGCCAGGCGCCAGGCCAAGTGCTTGACTTCTGTTGTTTGTCTAAAGTGACCCTGTGAGATGGGAGCATTATTAGTCCCCTTTTAATCTGTAAGGCATCTGAGCTCAGAAAAGTTAAGTAGCCCAAGGCCACATAGCTAGCAAGTGTCAGAGCTGAGGTTCAGACCCAGGCCCTTTGCATCCAGATCTCCACCACTCTTCACAGCAGCAAACAGATTTCACCACATTTCTTTCAAAAGGCTACAGGCATTCACCACAGGACTGTGTCTGTTCATCCATTTGATAGACACTGGTTATTTCCAGCTTTGTCTCTCATCAACACTGCTGCTGCGTTTGGTGTCTATTTCACTTGGCCAGTGTGTTCGCGTTATGTACGTAGGATAAATCCCCAGGAGAGACGTTGCTGGGTTAAAGGTTCTATCTATACCCAAAAGAATTGAAAGCAGGGACTAAAACAAATGCTTGTTATTCGCAGAAGCCGAAAGGGGAAAGCAACGAGAGCATCCATCAGTGGATGGATGGATAAACAAAATGAATCTGTATGAACAATGGAACACGATTCAGTCTTAAAGAGAAAGGAAATTGTGACAGGCTACAACATGGATGAACCTTGAAAACATACTAAGTGAAATAAGCCAGTCACAAAAGGACACATACTGTATGACTCCACTTAATACAAATTACCTAAAGTAGTCAAATTCGTTGAAACAAAAAGCAGAATAGTGGTTATCAGGGGCCTCAGAGGGGAGGGAGGAGGGAGTCAGTGTGTAACGAGTATGAAGTGTTAGTGGGGAAAGGAGGAGTTTTGGAGATGGACGGTGGTGACTGTTACACAACGTAAATGTACTTAGTACGACTGAACTGTACACTTAAAAATAGTTAAAGGTAAAATTTATGTTATGTATATTCTATCACAATAAAAAATATTAGTTTTGAGAACTCTAGTTGTCTCAGAAGTTTGTATCTTAGACATTTTTGATGCATATCTTTTTGCTCTGTTGTGTATCTTTTTCAGCTGGTTTTGATTTTTACAATGTTACTTAGTTACTAATTTAGTTATTAACTGATTAGGTTTGAAGTGAGCATTTATAAGCCAAGTTTTAACATTGGAAATGACATGTCTTCCTTTGTATGAAGTGTCATTGGGTACCATTATCCCTGCTGCTTGAGTCTGATTTTTGTAAAGGGTAAAAATGATTGTCTCATCCATCTACATAGTCTAACCTGGCCACCACTGAAATTCATTAATGCTACATTCTTTCGATGTAATTCATTGTATGTCTCCTTTGTTACTAGACTAGGATGCGTATGCAGTCCTTAGTGTAAAGGCTCTGCATTCACGTGATAGCCCATCAGAAGGCGCTACTGCCCTCTACTGGATGGATGCCAGATATGCTGTTCAACGCCCAAAGTGCACAGGACAGTTCTCTTAACAGTTATCCGGCCCCAAATGTCAGTAACGCCAAGGCTGAGAAACTCTGATCTAGTCCCAAGAAATTAATGTTAGGATTTCTCTTTTTTAGACAAAGCCATTGGTTCAATTTTTTTAAATTCAATGTTTTACAGGATTCTTGGAGAAAAACAATGATCTCCTCTACAGACATCTGAAAGAAGTAAGTCTGAAACATATGTGCTTCTGTAGGTTACAAGGTATCGCCCATGACAGTGATTTGGGGGTTGATTTGGCCTTCTGGATTTTTCTCTCCTGTGCATTACATGAGAACTCCAGCATATCGTGGCCAGAAGAGACATTTAAGATCATCTGTAGGAAACCTTGACTCAACAGATCTATTCAGATGTCCATGGTGCCCCTCCTGTGTGCCAGGCACTCGGCCAGCTCTGGAATTTCTCAAAGGAGAAATACAATGAATGGGATAGTCTTTGTTCTCAGGGGGCTTATATTGTGGGGAGAAGTAGAAGGAGAGTGGCTGAGAATAAATATATATGCAAATAAGTTACCCATAAGTGAGGAGTGCTATGAAGAAAATAAATAAGAACTATGATTGAGGGAGGGCATTTTCAATTTAGTTTAGGGAATCTGAGAAAACACCCCTGTGGAGGTAACTCTGAGTTGAAACCTGAATGAGAATGATCTTGGCCATGGAAAGCTTAGAGGCTACTCCCGGTAGGCAGACCAGCATGTGCAAGGGCCCTGGGCCCCCTAACCAGTTCAGCATGTATTCAGTGAGGGGTATAATGTTAGGAGCAGAGACTGAGGGCTCAGCAAGTGAGGGCTCCAGGGAGGACTAGAGGTTTTATTTTGGTGCAGTGGGAATACAGTGTGGTGACATCGACCGAGGGTAAGCAAACACACCCAGAGAGGTCTGGACTTGCCCAAGGTACCATCCTTAGGTGGAGCTGGAGCTGAGATTAGCCCCTGGGGCCGCTACTAAAACTCCCAGTCTCCTTCCATCTACTTCACCAGTCAGAGAAACCTTGGACTTTTGAAGCCTTTATTTTGTATTGAAGTAGTTAACCGTTTTGTAAAAATCGGATTTTATTAATTAGCTTTGTTTATAAAAACCTTAAACCTAGGGAGACATTTTCCAAATGAACTTGCAAATAGTTCATCTCAGGAGTGTTTCCTGCCCTTCTCAAGGTTTGCCTACCTCTTCTAGGACCACTCGTCCCACACTCTGGGATTCAGGACAGATCCGCGATTCCTCGTGCTGTGACCTGCTCCGGGAGGTGCTGCCTGGGTCCGAGTCTCAGCACCCGCTTCCTGGCTGGGAGTCTCGGGCAGATCTCCCCATCAGTGAAGTGGGTCTGACGGCCCCTTCCTCTCGGAGTAGCTGTGAATGATGCCCAAGTGGCGAGGCCTGGCTGACAAAAGATCTTAGACCTCTCATGGTTTCCCCCACCAGGGGCCATGCCCATCTCCTCACAAACCCATCGGCGGAGGGTGCTTCCTGCACAGAACACCTTGAGTTCAGTTCACTCACCAGGGCTGAAGTTCCTTATGCTTTTGTTTGACTTTGAAGATGGGCCACGTCTAATTTTTTCTCTCCTGCCTGATAATTATTCCTTCATGCCACTGTACATCCAGAATTGGAATGGATTAAATGAGAGAATCTTTTTTATTTTAAAAAAACTTTAACTGTGGTAAAATATACATAATATACAATTTACCATCTCAACCATTTTTAAGTGTGAGTTCTGGTGTTCAGTCCATTCACATTGTGGTGCAATCTCCAGAACTGTTTTCACCGTACAAAACTGATGAAACAATTTACTAGATCATAATTTCCCCCTAAACAATAATTAAAAGTAAATTCCCATTAAGCAATAATTCCCTCCTCTTCCAGCCCTTGGCATCCACCATTCTGCTTTCTGTCTCTATGAATTTGACTATCTAGGTGTCCCATATAAGGAACCATACAGTGTGTGTCCTTTTGTGACTCGCTTATTTCACTCAGCATAATGTCCCCAAGGCCCATCCATGTTGTAGCATGGCCACAATTTCCTTCCTTTTTAAGGTGGAACGAACAAGTCATTGTATGGATATAAGGAGAGAAATTGTAGTGTCGAATTCAAATTTTAAAGCATTAAAGACGTTTGAGTAATATAGATTATTTTGAAAATATGTGTCCAGGGGAAAACAGTCGAAGTACAAAAGCTGGTGTCCATGGCCCCGTGCCACCAAGTCCCTCTCCTGAAAGTCAGTGGCTCTAACCAGTATATCATGTATCCTTGCAGGAATACTAAATGCCAGGATGTGTGTGGATGCATCACCTTTTTCTTTTCTCTTCATACAACAGCCTTGCACTGTGCATGTGGTCCCACATCTTGCTTTATTCATTCCACATTGTGTCTTGGAGATCATTTTAAAGAACCTCAGTATTCCATGGTGGCTGGGCTGGGAATAATGGTTGCTTCATCCTTCAGAGGAAGAGCAATCAGATGGCCCTCCCAAGTAGACAGAGCAGTGGATTTAGTATTTAAACATTTCCTTCCACATGTGACCATTTTTTTTACCCCTTTCTTCAAATGCTCACAAAGCAAGTGACTGTGGTCTGCTGTGCACACTTACATGAGCTTTCCTGAAGACCCCTAAGTGATTGCTGTAGCAGCAAATGTGGAGCTCATTTCTCTTTACTTCCAGGTGCTATGCAGGTCCAGAAACAGCATCCTGAGAGAATGCTTCCTAGTGGCTGAGTTAGAGAACCGGAGAAGGCCACCAACGGTGAGCAGGAAAAATGCCCATACAAAACTGGAAAGGTGGCCAAAACCCCCCAGAGGATGGAATTATCTCCAGTTACCTACCCTTTTTCAGCCACCTTTCCCTTTCTGGAAGTATCACTCTCTAACAGGTTCTTTAAATATATACTTTCCAAGCTTAGCCACGAGTGCATTCAATTGTAGACATTCACTGAGCACCTACTGTGTGTCAGGCACTGTGCGGGGGCTCAAGGGATTTAGCAATAACAAAACAGGCAAGGTCCCTGCTCTCATGGGGTTTACGATCTAGTGGGAGAGCGTATAGGAAGATGCCATCAAATAAAGAACTTGTAATTGTGTGAGTGTCATCAAGGAAGCTTGGTACCCAGGAAACAGGAAGGTGGTGGAGGTAATGGTCTCAGGAGCGATGCCGGCTCCTATGAGGTACTCATCACGTAATTGAAAAGTAGGAGAAGCATCCTGGACAAATATTACCAGTCTCTGCTTGACCAGACTGAGCTTGGGCTTCTCAGGACAGGACATCCAAAGCCTTCTCTTAATGGGTAAAACGGTAGCAGGTAGGACAATCTGTTCAGAGTTTGGACCTAGAGGCCCAGAGTCTTCTGTCCTACTCTGTATTAATTGGGAGCAGCAATGTCTCCTTAGCTCATTTTCTTTCTGCAGGTGGGGACTCAGTTTAAAAACAGTCTGAGCAGCCTTCTGGAAATTCTCATCTCCAAGGAACCTTCGTACATCCGTTGCATCAAGCCCAATGAGAGGAAAGAACCCGGTGAGTCATGAACTGTCCTGGGTGTTGAGTAGGGAAGAAAACCAAGGTGGTGTGGGTTAAATCCTGAAAACCATGACCGGCTTGCTCCTTGTCCTCTGTACATGAATTGGTTTTCATTTTTAAATAGTAGAAGGTAAATGAATAGGGAGGGAGCCTTCTTTTGGTGGTTCTGAGTGAGCATTCCTCAGAGCCTGGTGAATTTCAGGAGCCACACAGCTCAGCCAGGCAGATTTCAGAGGTAAGGGGAAGCAATATTGCTTTTCTCTAGCCAGGGAACAATCTTTCCAAATGGTCTATGACTTGGGTATTTTCTAAGCTTGTGCCATGGTCTATGATAGTACCACACAGTCAAAGGCTTACAGAAGCCGGGCAGGAAAAGCAAATGGATGAAGCAGGCTGTGTGTAAAACAATAGAGAGTGAAGGGGACTGCGGCAAACTGGAGAGGGCATACCCTGTCTAAAGGGACAGCTCTACTTCCTTCCAGCCAGTTGTTGCCATGTGGGACTCTAGTTCCAGAATGGCCAGATCTCATGGTTTTTCAAGAGAAACCAGAAATACATATTTTCCTGTAAAATCCTGCCATTAAGTGTGCGCACGCGCACACACACACACACACACACACACACACACACACACATATATATAATTGGGACTTAACAAGACATGTCTGTGGCCAGACCCAGCAAACAGCTTGCAGCCTCTGGCCTGTCTTGATTGAAAGAAAGCCAGCGGGTCCTTTACTGTCACTCTCCCTTCTGTGTTTCCAAAGGCAAATTTGACGACTTCCTCATAAGGTATCAGGTCAAATATCTGGGGCTGATGGAGCACCTGCGGGTGAGACGGGCAGGCTTTGCGTACCGGCGGAAATATGAGCATTTCTTGCAAAGGTAAAGTTGTTGATCTGAAACCAGTAAAATCACACACCCACTATGTGCAAATCTCCAGATGTGATGAATAAAAGGCCACCTCCCAGGGAGCTCAGTTGGCTCTTAACTGCTGAACTGTGACACTGATGAACCCTGACATTTCAGAGAATAGGAGGCTTACTCAGTTCACCACCTTCCCTTCCCTTCACTAAGCCCCTAACTTCTTAGAATCCAGGAAAACTCAAGGGCAAGTGCATAGACCGGCCTCCAGGGGGCAGACGTGGACAGTCCGCCGCTTGGGTTTGTTCTCCGCTGGCGAAGAGCCTCCCGTGGTGTGACCCCAAGTGCTAGTTTCGGGCCAGCCCGGAAGCAATCCCTTGGCCACATCGGCTGTTGAGAGAAATTACTGTAGTGATGGGAACACGGGCACCGGCGCCACAAACGTGGGTGGGAATCTTCATTCTACTTGTTCTAGTTGCAACTATTTTGTTATGCGTAAGATGGGGATTCAGTTGTCTGCTGTCAGGAAGTTCCTAGGATTTAATGATATAGCCCCACCACACCACTACCGTTGCCCAAATTGCTTGTGCACCAATATTTCATTGGCTATGAGCTGCACGTGAGTTTGTGCTACCGAGAAAGTGACACATTCTCACACTTTCAAGAGAAGCTAATAAAATCATTTCTGTAGGTTAACATAGTTGAATATCAGCAATTTCATATTTCAACCTATTACTAGGCTTTCTTTGAAGTGCAGCTTTATAAAAATCATGTGCATGATCTTACATTTTTACCTGAATTTCTTGCATCGCAACTAACCTCAAGATCCTGCACTCTGAAACATCAGCATTTTCTTGCTCTTTTTTAACCCCTAATTGAAGGATCTTGATTTTTCTCTACCAAGGTTTGTACTTGTTTTTCTTCCACAAACCTTGTGTCTTGATCATTGAGGATCTACTTACATGCACTTATTAATAATCTCTTTCCTCACTGTTACTTTAATGATTTACATACCTGCTTGCATCTGAACCTCTGATGGGTATAACCAGCATTAACCTTTTGAGTTGATACAATTTCCCCTAAACGCACTTAGGGTTTTATTGACTTGTGTGGTCCTACTTTAAGGATTGACATAATTGTCTTTGGGATTTGGAAACAATGGAAACAGTTACAGACAGTTCCACCCCCAGTACTGCCTTTGAAGGCTCCCTAGGGGGAGCCCACGTTTGTACAGTTTTGATTGTTCATGTTGTACAAGTGAGGAGGGGAAATGACATGCCCAGCTCCTGAGCTGGGCTCGGACCCAGGCCATGCTGTTCCAGTCCAGAGGCTTTAGCTTGATTGCTTCTAGCCTTGGTCCACAGGCACTTTCAAATTCTGCATTCACTTATTTCATTATATTACAGACATCATGGTTATCTCTACAATGACCACATATTAGAAGGGAATTCCATTTATTTTGTGCTGAAATCGGTTTCTTAAGACAACTTCAGGTCCCAAATGATCCTTGAAAAATCCCTCCTCACTTACCCAGCATGGTACCTTTTCTGCACATGCTGGACCACTTGTATTTATCACTTTTCCACTGACAGACATTTGGGTTGTTTTTACCTTTTATGTGTCATGAATAATGACACTATGAATCTGCATTTAAATGGAGTGGATAGAAGTAACTGCTTGTAAATCTACATAAATTCCTAAGAAATTAATTCTCCAGGCTCTAGATGAATACAGAGTAATTTTGGTGTATAATTTTGCATGGACATATGTTTTCACATCTCTTACATACATACCTAGGAATGGAATTTGTCGGGTCCCCTCCCTGCCTCTGACTCGCAGATGAGGGAAGAGACGCGATTGTTCATCAAAGATCTTAAGGACTAACCAGGGGACTCAAGGCGTGACAGCGCAAGAGTGGTGCCAAGAAGGCATCTCTCATATTTATTGATAAAATGGTTGTTAACAACAAAATTGGGGTTTCCATGCACAATCATTAATTAAGTTCAACTCTCAACAGTTTCACAATCTGAAGGATAACAAACAAATCCTCATGGTGAACGAACACAGAAACTCTTTCTGTCTTGGCTACTGTTTCTGTCTTGACTACAATCATGAACCATAAACAAACCATCAAAGCAAAAGTGCTTATACATATGATTTTCATACTTTATATATAATTCCATATAATTCCCACAGGAATTGAGTTTCTTGGGTGGTGTCTAATGACGTCATTGTTCTACAAAGTAGGCCAAAACTTCTGTCTTACTGAAACTATTCCTCTTTTCTTTCTTGCCAAGTGTATATCATTGATTTTTTTTTTGAAGATTATTTCTTTGACATATCTTCTTGTAGAGTAACATAAGCATGTATAGGTTTTAAACTACTAATTAAATTGCGCACACACATTAACATAATAGGAATACAGCTACATAACCAAAGCAGACCTACAATTACCAGCCATCTCCAGTATATCATTGATCTTAAGAAAGTTAGAGTGATGAGTCTATTACATTATGCTGAGTGGCTGCCACGCCACGGCAGAATGAAGCTGACCTCTAGGAGGTGCTAGTGTTTAAGGTCTGCCATCTTTCTTCCTGTGCCTCTCTTCTCCCTAGGTACAAGTGCTTGTGCCCAGACACCTGGCCGCACTGGCACGGGCCCCCAGCAGAGGGTGTAGAGCGGCTGATCAAGTACATTGGGTACAAACCTGAGGAGTACAAGTTAGGGAGGTAAGTGGCTGGGAATTTGCTGTCAACATGTTTCATGCAATGACCTGTATCCATCTAGAGCCTGGACAATTAATTTCTTAGGAATTTATGTCGATTTACAAGCAGTTACTTCTATCCACTCAATTTAAATGAAGGTCTTTAACACAGAAAATCTCCTGTGGGTCTCCCCTACTCAATACTCCAAATTCAGAGCACCACAATACTCTGGCACCTGCTGGCTGTCCTTCAATGTAACTCAATTCTGATGCTGTCTACCTGGAGGTTAAGGGCGGGGTCTCATAAGACCATCCCTCCTCCCTTCAGACACCAATTGCAAGAACAGGCTGTCACTTGTATTTCTGACTAGCTAGCTATAAATCAGAGGTTCCCGGGACCCCCTCCTTGGGTTCAATTAATTTGCTAGAGCAGTTCACAGAATTCAGGAAAACATTTTACTTGCTGGACTACCAGGTTATTACAAAAAGATATGACTTGGGAACAGCCAGATGGAAGAGATGCATGGGACAAGCTATGTGGGAAGGGGCACAGAGCTGCCATAACCTCTTTTGGTGCACGCAGATCTCCAAACCACGTCCTTTTTGGGTTTTCATAGAGGCAGCTTTACATAAGCATGACTGATAAAATCATTGGCCATTGGTCATTAATTCAACCTCCAGCCCATATGCCTTCCCAGGAAGTGGGGCTGAAAGCTCCAACCCTCTGATCTCAAGATTGGCGCCCCTGGCAACCAGCCCCCATCCTTAGTTTATCTAGGGCCTTCCAAACATCTCTTCAGTAGCATAAACTCAGGTGTGGTTCAGCTGAAAGGGGTCTGTCATGAAGCATAAAAAGCAGCCATTTCACTTTGATCACTTTGCAGCTATTTCAGGAACAAATACCAAATATTGTAGAAAAAGATGCCCCTAACCCTATAGGAAATTACAAGGGTTCTGGGAGGTGTGACACTAGAATGGGACAAACACCAAATATATATCTTAATATAAATCTCAACATTACAAACTCTCAGAGGTTAGAAGGACTCTATTACTGCCTTTTGGGGGAGATTATGTTATAAAGGAGTCCTGTGTTCTCAACCTAATGGGGCTGGGATCAAGCTTGCAAAAGAGTGAGGAGACCAGGGTGAATCCCCTAAGCTTGGGGTCCTAATCTTTTATTGTTCAAATGTAAGCAGGACCTCTCAGAGGGGATATTGGGATTTACAGGGTGTAAAGGCTCTCTAACATCCCAGAACTGGTATTCTGGAACCCCCGAGTATCGCTACTATAGAGTTGTGGTTGTCCATGAACAGAACTTAGGTAAGCATTAGAAGCCTTGAGGCAGAACTCCGTAGAGTGAGCCGGAAAGATTTTAGTCTGTTCTGTTAGTTATATTGTCAGGGTTCATTTGCTTATAAGGAACAGTGCCCAAGTATGTAGAGGGTCTACTTCCAGGCCATGAAGATTCCAGCTGCAGGGATCTCTGTCTTTGAATCTGCCCATGGGGTCTGCGTGCCAATGCCTACATCCCACTTGTACACAGCCCTCTACGGCCACCGTGACCCCTCTCCAGCTTTACGCTTCTGTTCTGGGGCCTGCTGCAAGAATCAGCTACTTTTCCAAGCCAGCTCCTGAGGGGACTTGGGCTTAGCATATCCTGAGGGAGGCAGGCCCTGGAGGTCAGAGGTGGTCATCTGTCCCCATTCCTTAAGCTCAAATGGGGAAGCGGGACCACTTGGTGTGGCGCACGGCTGCCTCCCAGTGGCTGCCCTGGGAAGTTCCTCTCAGAGCGTGGGGTATAGAACATGAGATCAGTATTTACAATTTATCTTTGCTGGTTAATGGGATCTTCTTTTTTGCTTAGATCCGTATTGTTTGTCATTTTTTTTTCTTTGTCATTACTTTTTAAAGCCCAGGGAGGTAACTCTGGGTTAGGATGTGTATTAGATTCCTAGGGCTGCTTGACAAAGTACCCCTGACTGGCTGGTTGAAAACAACAGAAATTGACCCTCTCACAAGTTCTGGGGCTAGAAGTTCAAAATCAATGTGTTTTCAGGGTCACACTCCCTCTGAAGCCTCTATGGAAGGATCCTTCCTTGCCTAGTCTGGCCTACAGCAGCTCCTGGCTTGTGGCCGCATCACTCCGGTCTCTGCCTCTGTCTTCACAGGGCCTGTTGCCTGGACCTCCCTGCCTCCTTTCCCATCATGTATAAGGACACTGTCATCGGATTTAGGGTCCAGTTCAGTATGACTTCACCTCAATCCTTACATTGAGTACATCTGCAGAAACTCTGTTTCTAAATAAGTAGACGTGAAGCTGGTGGCAGGACAGCACTTTTCAATCCAATACAGATGGCAATTAACCAAGGGATCATTAAAACTTTTTCTTTTTTACTTCTAGAACCAAAATATTCATTCGTTTCCCCAGAACTCTGTTTGCTACTGAAGATGCCTTTGAATTTAGTAAACATCAACTAGGTATGATTTTTCTGCCTTGATTTCAATAGAAAGTGCAATGCATATGCTTAGCTTGGAATACATCTTAAACATAAGTGTTTGATGTAATATTAGAAACATTCACTTGGGAACCCAGAACAAGATATGTGATTATGGTAAAATGCATAAGAATTTATGCCTTCATGAGTGTTTGGAGGAAACTTGGAACCTGGACTGCTGCCCCTTTTCTAGCTTAGATCCAACTCCGTTGTGCCACACTAGACCTTAAATGAAGGTTGTGAAACCTCATTTGTGTAAGTGTCTGATACTGAAAGGTGTTCTTTGAAGCCTACAGCTAGGATGTGCGGTTGTGAATGGTAAATGAGAAAATTGGATGGAGGTGGGGGAATGCAGAAAAAAAAATCACAACTACTAAGGAAAAAAGGGCTTCTCCCTTGGAATCTAAACTGTTGCAAACAGCTCTGCTGGAGCAATCTGAGTGCTCACTGTGTGCCAGGCGCCCACAAAGCCCTGTACACTCACCGTCTCATGGTATTCTCAGAGCACACCAAGGGAGTGATGTGGTCTCCACCTAATATTCAGGAAACCTGAGGCCGCAAGATGCTGGTAACTTGCTGAAGGCCACACAGCTAGGAAGCTGCAGAGCTGGGGTTTGAACACAGGTCTGACTGGCTTCTAGGCTTGGGCTTATAAGCACTGGGCTTGGTGGTCTCATGTTTGGACCCCGACACAGCAGTGGGCACAGATCACCGGGACCTGGTTAATGGGCAGGTGGTGGCTGCCAGCTCCCACGGAATGGACGCTGCTGGGCAGCAGGGCCCTGGGTGAGCTTGGCCTGTGAGAGCCCAGAGGCACTGTGTGGAACATGCGGGCGGAAAATGGAGAAGTTGAGGGCCAGTGCATGTGGTCCCACAGCCCTGCACCCACATGCCTGAGGAGCTGCGTTGCCTGGCACCCCGCGTGGTATTCACCCCGAGTCTGCACTTGAGTGTGTAACATGCATTGAGGCCCGGTGGGGTGTAACGATGGAATCTAATGCTAGCACCGAACCAGAGGCCAACAGCCCTCAGGACCCGGGACTCTTACTGCTGGGTCTGATCCTTACCCTGGCGGGGAGGAAAGCGGAAGCGCGAGTCACTGGAGCGCCGGCAGCCAGGCCCAGTGTGAGCCGCCGCTCTCATCTCTGCCCCGCCACGTTGGCCTCCTGTCAGCTCCACACCACGCACCCTGAGGGCCCCTGCCAGTGTCCCTTGTGAAGGTCACAGCTACAAAGGTTCCCAAGAAAGCCCTTTCACCAAAACTTCTGTTTTATTTTAAGTTGCAAGAATTCAAGCCACATACAAAGGCTGCCTGGAAAGGAGAGCATATGTGAGAAAAAGACAAGCGGGTAAGGATTAAACAGAAACTTGCCGGTCTGGGATGGGCCAGAGCTCCGAGGCTTCATTCTCGTCCACGTGGCCCTGGAGGCCCAGGCTCCTTCGTGCCTTCCCTCCCGCTGCCCATGCTTGAGACCTTGCCATGGGGCAGCCTTGGGGTCTAGTACTTCATCTTTACTCCAGTGACGAGGTTATAACATTGGGTCCTGTTTGTTCCACAGATGTGTTTCATTTGATCCCTAACAAGTGCATATTTAAAGAATCTTTATAAAAACATTACTAACAC